CTTTTTTTGTTATTTTTTTTTTGTATAGATGTGTATAAGAGACAGATATATATCTATATATATATATATACTCAGTGTAAAATACGATGAGATGACAAATACTTGGTAGACTTCAAACACAAAATACCATCACATGTGGATTACATTATACTTTATATGATATCTGTATATACTGTATAAATGATAGGTATGTATATCTAACCATAGAAACGAGTATCAAGTTGTGAAGAAAACAGCAATTTAAAACAGGTTGAGAAGTTTAATACTGTACATAAATCCTTTAGACCTTAATATAGATATAATTACTCCGAATGTCATTATACTTTTGGTGACGTGACGTCATTTCTATTCAACAATTTTAGTGCCTTTGCATTTCCATGATAATTAATGCACATTGCCGCTATATTCCGAATTTATATTACAGTTAATGACATTCTGTGAGATGTTTATATTCTCTTTATAACTTTAAATATCTATATTGGTCTCATTGTGAATGCAACGTAATCTGGAAGCACACTTAACACACATTGTTAAAGAAGGTAGTCATTAAAGAAACGCTTTTATCATGTACTTAATTTTTACTTTTGACAGCTGTAGACAGCGGCTCCCCTGAACTGTCTATCAATGGAAGTTTAATCGATGCCAATACAGATTACATATTTCAGCTTACCGTAACCAACTTTCTCGGCCAATCAGATTCAACGTATCTTAGTGTTTACCGCTCGTCCATCCTAGCACCTCAAGTTCAGGTGTTTGCTGATGGGGCAGACATCGAAGGCGTGAAGGTTTCTGAGAGGTAGGCTGGATTTAAATTTAGGTGATGTATTAACATTTGCCTCTGGCGCAGCGCTGACACCAAAACATAATCAGACACAAATGATAGGATTCATACTGATTCATATTGCCTGAGTAAAATCTGGAAAGTCCTAAAAAACTAAATTAAAATTAGAGTGCCGTCACTTCATAGAATGCATATACCTCCGCCCTGTGGCTTAAATACCGAAATACACGAAGGGCAATTATGGGCGATTCCATTATTTACTTTTATGCTCGGAGTTGGTTAAGTTACAAAAAAAAAATTTAAATTAAGAAACTTATACCCACACGCTATTATGTTGAACAGATTGCATATTTGTATTATATTATATATTTTCTCTCTTACTGATATCTATTTTAAGATAGTAGTAGGACTGTCGCTTCTGAAGCTTCATTACTTAAAAATATCAGTAATTTTCATACATTCTGCTCCTGCATTGATATTTTTCAAATATAGTTTCCATCTCTCGACTCTTGTGACGTATTACTCGGCATGCGTGCCACCAGGAGAAACGTCTTTCGAATGGTCTACTAATAATACGGACGTAGCCATGAACATTAAGACAATGTTTACTCGATCGCTGCACGTTTCATCCAAGTCACTACCAGGTAAACAAAAGTTTTTTTTTCTCTCTTTCGTAGGAGTTTAACCCACTTTTATTTCTTTCTCTTTTTGTTACTTTTCTTTTTTTTCTGCTTCTAATACATATTTAAAAGAAAATGAGTATACTAAAATAAAAACAATTGCACTTAGGAGGGGTCAGTCCACAATGGCTGACTATCTTTCTTTTTTTTTTTAACATCCTTCCACTTGTAATACTTTCTAAATATTTTTTTTTACCAAGATGTAATTAACATTATTAACATCGTACATTAAAAAATTTCTTCAAGTTAACTTTTTCATAAAAAAAAACAAAAAAAACAAAAAAAAAAACCATTTATATACATATACACTGCACATATACATAATATTATTTTCTTTTTAAATCCAACCTTTACCTTTCATGGGAATTTCATTCTCCTTTATTTCTTTCTTTTTTTGTTATTTTTTTTGTGTGTATGGAATACACTCACATACATATATATTTCACACTCATGATATATATCTATATCCGTATACATCCATGCACATACATACATATGCACACATACACATACGCACACATATACACCCATACATACATATATATACATACATATACAAACATATATATATATATATATATATATATATATACATATACATATACAACCCCATACATATACACAGGCCACATATCGTCGCTCACATCACGAACTAACACAATTAAATTCAATTGTGTTAGTTCGTGAAACCAAAAAAGCGCGTCAAAATACGCGCTGTTGTCGTTAAGGACTTTTTGTGTGGTAAAGAATACAAAATTGCTTGACAACCAATACGCGCTCGTTTTAACGCGCTACTATGATTTCACGAACTAACACAATCTACTTTGATTGTGTTAGTTCGTGATGTGAGCGACGATATACAACCCCATACATATACACAGGCCACATATACATACATATACATTCTTTAACACAAGGTAAACAAAAGTTGTTATAAAACTAGCCACTAGCATGAGTATTTGTCAATGGGCCGAGAGGGGGAGTAGTTTTACCCCCTGTCACCCGACCCCAAATAACGCTCCTTTGCGGCCAATAAGGCCCGATCCACTATTGTGAAAAGAATGAGTGATACAAGTCTATTTTTACGACAACCGAACGATGTTCCTATATATGGTCATGATGTGATATCATCATTACTATATTTAGGTATGTCACATGTTTTTGTCAAATAGTGTGCACAGGGCTTTAGGATCTTAATGCCTACATTATCTTCTAGTCTTTCGTTGATATCTATAAAAAAAAATCTAAAGTTACAATACACACATTTGTGTTGTCGATTCAGGTCTTGTTATTGACTTTATTATTGATGGTATTGTACATTCAAGGCATGTTATTGATTTTATTATTTATGGTCAATAGCTTTTTAGGCTGGAATTAGCTTTTCAACAACACATTTCTATAAATAAGTCTTTGTTGGTCTTTCTTCGTGTATTACATACCAGAAAATCCGATCCATCAATCACATCAATAATGTATGTGCTTTGGCTACTGGCTGGGTAAGTGTCACATTACTGGGGGCTCGGCGTGACAAATGGAGTTATAATAATATTCAACATGCCTTCTCTAATTTCGCATTGATCGTTGAATTTGATGCGAATCAAGCTTGGTTTAGTGGATGTGTGGCGGTATTTTTACATGTTCTTGCTGCTCAGACCATTGCTAGTGTTGTTACACAAAAAACGGCATTTTATGTATTTTCTTATATTATTTAGTTTATGAATTTCGACAAACCAGCCACGAATTAGGTCTATTAACTCGATACAAAGTAAATTAATATACCGAATGCGCCAGTGGGAAGCCCCCTGCCCCCACCCTCCTTGTCGGGGAGAGTTGTCCCTCCCTCTGTCGGAGAGAAAAACCGCAATTCGTCGGAAAGGATTTTTTTTTTTTTTTTTTTTTTGCATTTTCTACAATATAGTTATAGACTCCAAAATCGATTAAATAAGCATTTGAAACCCCTAAATTGTCATTGATCACTTTCGTAACATTTTGAGCGACGCCTGACCACGCCTATTTTTTTCTTGTCGGGGACATCGACCTATCGTCGGGGACCTCAGACCTCCGTGGGGCAAATCCTGGCGCCACTCCTGGACACCTCTACTTATCTTAATTTGCTGTGTTTCAATGTGTAAATCACTAACAGGAAAGTATACTTTTTAATACTCATTTACTTTTTTGACACATACACAATATGACTTATTAGCCTGCTACAGTATATTCTCCCCTGTGTTTGGCTCCTAAGGTGGCGAAGACATCCAGTTCACAGTCAAAGTTTATAGGTCCAGCGACCCGACATCATTCGTATTGACATCGATCCTCGTCACTACTGTCAAATCAGACTTGGTAGCCCGTATCAAGGGTGGCGATGAGTTCACTGTTGGACGTGCAAGTGGTAATGTGCAGCTTGATGGGTCTCTGTCCTTTGACCCGGATGAAGAAGCTCGTGATTGGGTTTATGAGTGGCAATGTTTACAGGTAGGGCCTATGTGTATTTTTTAATGTTAGTTTTTTCACTGTTTTATAGCTGTCTCTTATACACATCTAGATGTGTATAGGACACAGCAATTAAACTGTTTATCATCTTGATACCTTCCGACGAAAATTGACCCTACCGGCGTCAATTTGTAGGTTGACGACAACAGTGCATGCTGGTCTTTTGATCCCGATAATATTGGAAATCTCGTCGTTGATTCGTCAAACTCAGGTAGTCAAATTCTCGAGTTTGACGCCTTAGCGTTAGAGGCCGATAAAACATACAAGTTTACTCTGATTGTAAGCAAAGAATTGAGATCCGCTTCGGCCGTTGTCTCCATTGCTGTTGTGAACGGTGATCCACCAAAGGTGGGTTCATTGATTATAATATCTAGGCATATGTCATTTTATATCCAATTACTTAGTGATTGATCAAAGACAATTAAAGGAATCACAACAGCGACCCATGGAGTACTGTTATTGTCCTTTTTCAACTAAGCTAATCCGCCATTTACTAGGGAATTTATTTTTTAGCCTACAAACTTCACCGAGGCTGAAACTGCTTAAATAATAACAAATTGGCTCTGAGGTAATGTCAAATGAGGTTTTATTTAATTGATTTTATATGCTAACATTTGCTGTAGTTAAAAGAGCGCAATCTAAGTTGGCCTAGCATTTCATCAAATTACTTCAGTTTTGTTAACCATGGAATGATCCATTTTGAGTATCTAATAACAATCTACTAAATCAATTAGATGATTATTTATTTTGATTTTGTATATTATTCGTATGTTTCAAGGTGGAGGTACAACCAGTAAGTGACACGGGGAAGGTCAGCGACAATGAAAACATCTTCATCTCTGCCTTTATCAGCCACTCCGTAACGGCAGAGATTACTGACGCTACCTGGATAGCAACCGATACTGACTCAGGTATACATCATAAATCCATCTGGGAGTTCTCGAAAAGCCTTCTTCTTTAATTTCTAGCTCGGCGATACGCCTATATAATAATAAGTCCATAAGTTTAGTGTGTATAATATAATAATAATATCTTTATTTAATCCAGCTTTACAAAATCATACAAAAATAAAGAGGAGGGGGTTAGAACAAAGGAGGAACAAGTTCCAATACCCGAAGGTTTTATCTGCACAGACATAAATTACTAAATAAATAACTTTCATAGATATTTACATATCAAGATGAGACAAAAGCACATTCTTAAAAGAGGAAAAGTGAATCGCATTGACAAATTTCAATGGGAAGGGAGTTCAACGCTGGCATACGGCCAAGAAATGAACATTTAAGTGCATTACACTTTGCAAAAGGGATGGAGTGTGTTGGGAACTCACTCTTTTAATTAATCTTAAACAAGAAGTCAGTGCCTGTAAGCTTGCGAAATAAATTGAAAAAAAAAAAGAGTAAGTACTTTCTCAAACTTTAAGAGAACATAACCGAAATTTACCTAATCGTTCGGAATAATTAAACAATCAGCATGATGGTGAATAATGTTGATTAACTAAGAACCGGGGGTTAGTATAGTATTTCCAAACAAATAAACATCTGAGATAATGTTGGGCAAAATTCGTTCAATTTGATTTTACATTGCACAAATGTTAGTTGATATTATCAAAGATACTAGAAATACAATAAAGTTATAGAGCACTCGCTGAGCAAAAGTGAGGCGGATATACGTCACATCTTTCACGCAAATCCAGTCGTAAGCGACGCCCCATTGTTTCCCACCATGGATTTCGGTGGAACACTTTTTTTCTGTGGATAACTCTATGTTTCTAAAAATATCTTTGATATTATTATTCGTATCAGACATTGTTATTAACTCACTATTATTGTCGTGTCATTCAGGCTATGGATTTGTAGACCTTGAGGATAGCCGTAACCTAGCGCTCCCACCACAGTTATTCAGGTTTCTACCTGGTTTCACCGTTTCCCTCTTGGGAATCAGAAAAGGTAAATTTGGTATTGATAGAACCTAATTGTATATAAAAGTGGTAGATTGTCCCGAGTGTCATTGCGGAGAATGGTGGTAGAACATGGTTGCGGTTAGTATAGGCGGAACATTTTCTCCGTCTTCCGTACCACAAACACAACGGAAAAAGTTTAAATAATGTCGGAAATACTGACACAAACAAAGAAAATATACTATTGGGAACATGCTTGGTATGATTTTATATAGACAAATGGTCTTGATTAAAAAAAAAAAAAACCCAAGAAAAGAAAGAACGCCCAAGACAATAACACTTGATTGGTTTTATAAGTTTTGTCTCTAAAACACAATCACACTATATAGATAATTAGAAATCCTTCATCTGTACAATCCAGTAAATGTGTACCAACTTTTGTAGATGATTAACAGTTCTACGGAAATTATTCCTACATTTAGATAACAAGAGATAATTATCAGCTAGTCTGAATAATTAATCAACGAATCTCAATTTTTGACCTAATTTCAGGAGTTCTTGAGCGAGGCACTGAATACTCGTTATCTGCTACAGTTTTCCAAGAGGACGGCCAAGAAAGTTCTGCCAAAATGTCGTTTGGCGTCCTCTCCGGCCCAACGTCTTGTGACTTCTCAATTAACGATTATGAGGAGTTAACAGAGGTATTACAATAATAGACAAACGAACACAAACCATTCACATAATATTACATGTCTTTAAACAACACTAGGCCTACAGTAAAGAAGTTTGATAAACACTAAGAATCATTCGACCTGGACCTTCTGACCTAAGGTCAACTATAAACTCTAACATGCAAATAATACTTAATATACTTGACCTATTAAAACACAACTGACATCATAATGCACCACAATACCAATAATGATTTTTTTATCTCAGAGTTTTGTAATTAAAATTTGTTTGAAACTGTTTGGATATCACGGACAACCCCCATTGATAAACGTGATTCGGTCTCAATCACTAAAAATCTATCTATACCAGGGGCGGGCATAAAAATCGGTCGGAGGGCCAAAGTGAATTTTTGATTTAACACCGAGGGCCACAACCAAACTTTGATGTTTCCAGTGAGCTTCCAAAAACCAAGCACTGCTTTTACATCACTTTATTCTCAGTTTTAATGTTACTTTTTACATATGATTGGTGTCGGACCGTCAAAAACAAGGTGTTTTCTAGACAATTTAATTGGCGAGCCGCAAACACAGGGTTTTTAATTCATTGTCGCGGGCCGCAAAAATATCGCTGACGGGCCGCATGCGGCCCGCGGGTCGCGCTTTGCCCACCTGTGTTCTATACAAATTATAGATGATAAAAATATATTTCGGTATTGTTATAATGAAGAAAAATAGTCTTAAATATCAGTATTGTTATAATGAAGAACCATATTCTTAAATATTTGTTTAATCAAACATAATTTTGTCTAGACCGAGATCAGAACAGAGAATTGTGTGACGTCAGATAACGCGTACCCCTTAAGCTACCAGCTTTTTGTTGTAAATAAAGAAGGAAACACAGAAGCAGTGACAGAGACGAGGTCAGATCCAACGTTTAGTATTCCGGGTAAATCAAAGATCGAAGGAAGCGATACACGTGACTACGCAATTAAGGTATACGCTGTTTTTTAATTTACTGGGTAGACTAGCAAATTTGGTAAAAAAAAAAAAGAAGTAATGCCTTTAACCACCAACTACAACCATTTCCCATTTATGTAATATCTAATGTACTTTACGTCTTCTTATCCATATACTTAAAGATTAATTTTTCTTTAGAAATCTGTTAATGTTATTTCATTGCTTGAACAAGTGGGGGGGGGGGTAAAAAGGAAAATATCTCCTTCATGTCGGAAAAGCAAGGACTCCATTGCGCATTGCGCATTGCGCAAGACGCTAAACATTCTTATTTCCCGATTCAAGTAAAGTTAGACATTTTGTGATTGCGATTTTTGTAATATTGTGGTCTAGCAGCACAGTTTGTACCATTCTAAACTAAGAAATTTTCCCCTCCCCCAGCGGATTTACTCGTAGACATTCATGAGACCGCTTCTTTGGTCGGAGCCCCTGTCGAACTGTAATACCTAGTGGAAAAATTCAAGGAGTACTACTGGTTTATCTCTTTCAGTAACAAAGCGTATCGCCTTTAAACTTCAGTAGAGTATATGTAGTAGCATTTTAATTAATAGGAGGCTACTTCATGCTCCTAATAACGGGGTTACCCTAAGTGTATTTCGCAAATCCAATCCAAATTCATATTTACCTGTAGATAAATGCAGTACTTTTTCACTTTACAGGTTTGTGATACGAACTTTATGTGCACGACGTACTTCGATTCAGCTATTGTTACCCATAACGAATTGAGCGCGGAGGAGGAAAATGAGTTCAAACATGAACATGTTACAACGTTGATATATTCAGGTAGGTCCCTATGTGTGTATAATGACGCTTTTGGAAAGAAGCGCCGATTTGAGCGATAACGGGGTCAGGTAAAGCAGTCTCTCGACGCGTTAGTCCATCCTTTGTTAAACATGAAAAGAAGGAGATACATTAGCCTTGTTGCAAAATGACTCTCTTTTCCCCCACGAAATATATACATTACTGCGTTCTTTAATTTGCACGTAAGTACACCAGACCAATGACATCATTTCGAGCAGTTGCGTCAGCATTTTCCCATTTACTTATAATGTTTAAATATTTACATATATACATAAGTACATATTTATATATTTATTTGTTTCTTTTGAGTGAATGCTTAACATATTTTGGCCAAGGTGATTATTGGTTTTTCTTTAAACAGGTGACTATCTTGGCGCTTTAGTTAATTTTAACGAGCTGCTATTCTTCAAGGCTGCCGATTCCCCAGAACGCCGTCGTCGCGATATCGTTGAGACGTCTTCAGACGATGTAACGGAACAACTTCAGTTGATATCGCTAGAAATTGACAACTCAGTCTTGACGACCAGTAGTGCTCTGACACTACTCGATCAAGCCAACCTTGTTAGAATTGCTGATATGTCCTTATCTGACCGAAGTAAGTCTTGCTATTAGTGGCGTACTTAGTATTACGGTATTGAAATGGGGGAGGAGGTGGGTGCTGATAAGGAAAAAAGGGGATAATGGTTAAGTGGGAGAACTCGATGATTTAAGGTAAGGAGTGTTAGCTGGCAAAGTAAGGAGATATGAGGGATTTTTAACTACTTCATCGTAAACAAATTTCAGTGGGGTGCGCCTGCGTGGCACAGTATTTACTGAGACGTGTGCAACTCCGTAGATGCTTCACTGCTTGTTATTCCGAAGTTTAACTTAAGTTCAGTGAACTTCCAAAATTCCAATATAATACACAGTACTTTTAACAAGGATGACTGACGAATTCAGTCAAACGACTTGACCACTCTATCAGCAACATATGATTCAACTAACATTCACTATGTGTTACTACAATCAAAGCATACATTATAGTGACTGCTAATATATAATTATATTCTTTTGCTCTTTAGATGAGTACATATCTTACATTGCAACAATCGTCCAAGTGTTCATTGATGACGGGACTGCTATTCCTACCAGTACATCGCAGTCAACACTTCAGAGGCTCACTGAAATCCGATCCAACCTCGACCCGACTTTCAATGCGAACATGTTAACGTCCATCGGGTAAGTCTTTCTGATCGTGGATTCTTCTTTTTTTTTTATAAAGTTGTTATCGATTGTGGTTTTATGGCGGTAATACCTCCTTGGTAAAGCGTTGTACTAATTCGAGTCAAAATATCGTGAGTGCAGGTCCTATGTTACATTACAATTACCATTGTGCAAGGCATTTTCTACCTTGTCTTTTTTCCAACAAGAGTACTAATGCAAAAAAACATCTATACGCTCGGTGAATGAGCTCTTTGAATTTATAGATAGTAGGAATAAAAAAAGCCCTATAAAACTAAACCTACTCCTTAAACAAAGCATGGTTGGTCATTAGCTCTGAGGAGTTCATCCGCCCTTTGTTCAACCATTTTTTTTTCTTGCTGCTGGTGTCCATTCACCCTCTCGCCGCTAAGACCACCGAATAGGGTTGCCAGAATCATTCTCTGGCGGCTCGACCGGATGCAGTTTATAACGTCGTACCCGGCGCACTATAATATTATTGAAAATACGCTTAAATAATAACTTAACCAATTTAACTAATTGGTTATCCTCTGCTGATGGCACCATCATGAAATTTCTGAATGAAGTTTTCAGGGTTTTGGAAATTTACTAAGAAGTGAATGTTTTGAAACAACGTTTACATAGTTTGAATTACAAGCATCTATAAGAATAGGCTACTCCATAAAGAGAGAAAGAGGACGTAGTAATATTACCCATGATTGATTATGAAAACAATGAAAGTAGTATAAATACAATGGGAAGAAAAAAACACCATCATGTTCTGTTTATAATAATACCTAAAATAGATTCTGGCCATTTGATATCTTATGAAAAATGAAGTTGCTCAACCTTTCCGAATAAAATAATCTATTTTATTTTAAGGAATGAAAACATTGTATTTAACAACATAGGCTATAGGTCGAAGCCTACAGTGAGAAAGTTGATTGAGACAAAATGTATATTGTGGAACTCAAACTAAGTTACGTAATGAACGGCGCAAAATAATATGAATGATGTAATACCCAATGATCGTGAAAATAAATCCACTACTCAATATCAAAAATCCATTAATGTGTACATGTACATTTTGACGAGTCGAGTGGCCGAGTGGTAAGACGGGGGCGCGGCTAACTACGGCCTTAACATCGGCACTGGTTCGAGCCGCTCAAGTTGGTAGAACCAAGTCCTCTCGCTCGGATAAAGAATTAAAATGTAAGTCCAGTGTACATATCTGGCTTGTGTGGACTTTAACTCATTGCATCTTTCGGAAGTGTAGGGGGGTTACCCCAATGCTATGTTTCATTTCAGCCCCTGTAGTTGTGAAATGATGTGTACTAAGCCTCTTTAGTAGTCACGGACCACGCCCATACGCAATTCAGCACAATAACGCTGCAAGTTATGGGTTATTCTCCTACCTTTACCTTTACCTCTTTATATGTTCTTATACTTTATCGAAATAAGGGGGGGGGGGTGGGCGAACATTTTTTTAAATATTGTGAATATTTTCTATTTAATAACCTAAATTTATCTTGGAATAGGTCCTTACAAGACACTTTGTTGAGTTCTCAGGCGGTGGATCTTGTTCTCGGCGAAGAACCTCAGGTGATGTCCACGTCTGACGTCACTACTAGTATTGCTAAGGCTATTCTGGGTGGTACCTTCACCACATCTTCATCTGCCACAGCCGCCACAGTGAATTTCGGCAGCCAATTGGAGAGCATGTAAGTTGAGTACTATTACTTTCTTACATAAATTAATATTTGGTTCAATTGGAAGAATGGTTAAACCTACATAATCGGATTTTTAAAACAAAAGGAATTGATTTACTTTGAATTTATTTATCTGATTGTGACATTTTTAACAAAAAGACGCATTCAGATGACTACTTAAAGTAAATCATTGGTCATCGTTAAGTTATTAGCAAATTTGGAAGTGGGCCTGTGTAGATTCATGTGGCAGTCGCAATGCAGCGTCAGCACTGGCAATTATTTATCTAAATGCACATTCTTTTAAAAACAGAAGGACGCATTCAGATGATATAAACAATTTAAAGTAGCTCGATTGGTTATAATTTAGAAACTAGAAAATATGAGTATAGCCCCTGGATACATGCATCAGACGCAGTGCAGCTTCCACTCATGATGGTGATTTCTGAAGGACGGACACCGGGAAACAAACCCCTTTTTTCTCATGAGTGTAGGCCTAATACTGTATTCTGAATGTGTACAAGACCAAGTTCTAGATTTACGTTGGACCAACGGCTTAAACATCTTCCAGGTGATGGTACACTATGACCTGTGTCACCTACATTGAGAGATTACCACATGTGTATTTAACCATAACCGTGCTGATTGTTTTAAGTTGTTAAAGTTTGACAAGTGATCTATTTCAGAATTATTTTCTTCCGACAGCTATGGTGGTGCATGGTCCTGCAACTCGGAAACTTGCTCCGGTGTTACAGTCATCTTCCTTAATTACGCCGATGACGTAGATTACCTCTCTACTACCGATGACGACAAGAATACGCGAGCATCTAGCATTATCAACATCAAGTTAGCTGACCCAAACAGCGGTAAATTCGATTTTCTTATATTTTGTAGAATCATGTTTCAAGTGATTTTTTACTAAAGCTTTGCACTCACTGCGCCCCGACAGTCGTGGGCAGACGCGATTCAATGGAGAATGCAATGCAACGGCGCGCGCGCAACTGTTCGTTTTTAATGACGATCCGTTCAGACTGCCGCCGACAATCAGCAGACGGCATCGCGTCGTCTAGCGTTCACAGGGAGCGGATTTACATTCATCGTACGACGCAGTAAGTTCAGTAGATGAGTAGTAAACAATCACTCTTTAATAATTGACATTTTTCTCTCTCTCTCACTCTCAGGTGAGGAGATTGAAATTTCCGACCTGACTGATCCAATAACGATGACGATCCCACTGACGAATGCACAAGCTGACGTCACATATGTGTGCCGATATTGGAACACCACTCATGGTGTATGGAGTGACGACTCAATGGCAACTGGCTCAGTATCAAGCACCGATGTTCAATGCCAGTCCTACCATCTCACCAATTTTGCTGTTTTCGCTGTTCCTATTGAAGGAGATAATGACCTTACATCAGGTACACCAGTAATCGAAGTTGAGAAAGAAGAGGAAGGTATGTAGGCGTGATCTTCTTAAACGAAAATCCAAATGTTTTAAAGTTGGGAACGACGCCGGGGTGGGTGTGGCCGGTAGGGGTTCTTACTCGTATGTGTAACATTGTAGATACTAACAAGTAATGCAGTAGGCCTATGTCTTTAATTTCTTTCTTGGTCTCATGGGTAATAATATCGATGTGTCTAGAGATGTGTCTATTGTTGTTGCTGGTAATTATATATCGGTAATAATAAACAAGGTTAAGGTTGGCAACAGTTGGGGTACACTCACATTGTCGAAATAGCGTACGGTACGGTATCCCTTGCCGCTGGCTAATAATACAGTATTCCATTCAAATTGGTGTTCCATTGCAGATTGGCGTTGTATTACTACAAGCCTACATGTGATCCACGTTGCAAACGTTAGGCCTATACTTTCTGTGTTGGTTTTTAAACACTAATTTTCTTTTGCAGGATTGTTGATGTATCTACTTATTTTCGGAGGGATTGCTGTATTGTTGTTGCTGGTAATTGTTATTCTTGTTATCGTGCTCCACAAGAAACCTAAGAAGTCACTCGAAGAAGAAGATGGATCTCGTAAGACCAAAAATCATGCACCACAGCCTGCACCAGCACCACAGCAAGCATCAGCTCCACCAGCAGCAGAAACAGCAGACCAACCACAACAACAGGCCCCTCAAATTCACACTGTTCTCCAACCAATCTATATTCAGCAACCATACCCATATACAACTCAGCCATTTAATCAAACGCCCGTCATTCCCGGTAATCAACCAGCAGTAACCCTGGTTTCGCCAAATGGTGAGCTCAAATCCTCCACCCTACCCGATTACACTGCGTCTTCTGCTGGACAAAATCAATCAGGTAATTATTCCAGCTATGTACAGGCGTACACTGGTGGTATGGCACCCGTAATGGAATCGTCTATACCACTACCCCCAGCTTATACGCCGCCGTCCGTGGGAACTAGCGGGTCCACTTCTACAATCTCTGGCAGAAAAGTCACTATTACTGATCATTGTTAACCTCTAGTAGTTAATATAAGAAAAACGCCGCCGTCCTCTGACATCGGTACCACTCCTAAGATCTCTGACAGAAAAGTATCTATCACCAATGATTGTTACCCTGTAGTTAAATATGTATTAATGTGATATTTTGTGTTTCATGACGGATACCACATAAGCCTACATTACGTACAATGTTGATTTAAGTTCCGTAACCACTTTAAAAGCGAGCATCCAATTAATGGAACATGTTGCCTCAGACCATAATATATTATGCTTCAACTAAATCTGTCTTCAAATAGGCCTATATGTTGGAGCAGTATTTAATAAAACATTGAATTTGAGAACGTAATAGGAAAAACAATACATGTATTAAAAATAAATAAATAAATAAATAAACAAATAAAAAGGAAACAAGATTAAGGAACGCTAGAGGATGTTTAACAAATGTTCTCTAATTTTCTGGAACTATTGCATTGTCTGTTGGGGAAAGCCTTGTTCCGCTCATAAAGTTAATCACTTAATTGTTTATCGTTATCTTTTAGCTAGTTTCGAATTGATTAAATTTAACATTCCTTTATAGTTTTACTCATCTATTCATATGTATATATATATGTATGTATGTGTATAATGTACGTGTGTATATATATGTGTATATATTATGTATATATATATATATATATATATATATATATATTATTTTCGATTGTATCCTCATAGACAAGTTATTTTACCCTTAATTTTATTTGTTTTCATTTCTCTTGAATGTTCAATGTTTTTGTTATCTCTTTTATTTTTAAGGGCTTTCCCGCTGCAATCTTCTGAGCTTTTAAGGCATTTTCCCATTGTATTTGTCAAAAATGTTTATATTAATTATGAAAATGGAAATAAATGTTGAAACGAGGCTCCGGAGGAAAAATATGTTTGATATACTGATTTTTCTAAGACACAAAATGCATATTTGAGAATTAATAAGATACAGATTTTTAAATATTTAAAAACTGGAAGAAAAATGTGAAAAAAGGTTGATTACGTCCCCTCCCCCCCCCCCCCCCCAGTTTTTAAATATTCAAAAATATGTATATTAATATCCGCTTGCGAGTTTTTTTGTCAAATATGCTTTTATGTGCTTTAGAAAAATCAGGCCCAGGATTTGTCAATCTCAGCTTAGCAAATGTCTTAAGTCAAAAAAAGTTAAGATGTCCCTGATAAATATCTTAAGCTGATTTACTAAACCATCTTAGCAAAATCTTGGCTTAAAAGTCTTCGATGGCGCTTCCGTACAATTGACTTCCTAATTTTTCTCCGGAGCCTGGCTCCACTTTTTGGCAGGCCTCCACTTTCTGGCAGAAAATTATGTCTATGCATATTTGTTTATGATCGGAAAGAAATGCTAGTGTGTGCCCCCCCCCCCACTTTAAAAAAACGTTCCGCCAGCCCTGTACCAATTCCATTTAATCTATCGTATAACATACATATATTATATATTTTATGCAGAAGAAGTTAATTATATGTTAAACGTTTATTTATGCATATTTTACATTAAATGCCATGGTATCATATAGACTTAAGTTGGGCACACACTGCGCCTGACTGTTTGTCGGCGTCCGATTCCATAGCGAACGCAAGGTGGACGACGCGCGCACAACGGATTGTTTATTCGCTCATCATGTCACTGGCCATCAACTTATTATTATCTTTGCTGCCATCAACAGACGACATCGCGTCATCATGCGCTTACCTCCTGCTGCCAGGAGCGGATATGCATTCGTCGGTCGACAGTCGTACAGCGCAGTGTGTGTCCGGTTTTACCAAAAATTTTATTGATCGTTTAATCCTTTGAAGCTTTATATATTTGATAAATATTTTTGAGCTATCACTACCAGAATAATTTCTATATTTATATTAAAGTCATCAATGTTTTACACGAAGGTACGATTGTGGATATTTATGAATAACAATTTTGAATTAATGCACGGTATAACAATAAAGAAAGATTATGACTGATTTATAAATACTTTAGGATTACTGTACTTATTATATGCCTATATTATTATTATTATTATTATTATTATTATTATTATTATTATTATATTTATCGTGCGTTTTAGTTAATACACTTTTTGTGAAAGTATGATATTGTGGAATATATAAATATTGTTATAAATAATATTATAATATATAAACATACAAGAAATATTTTAGTTATAATGAAAAATGAAAAATATAAATAAAATTTTATAAAATAGTTACAATATGAAAATATTAGGAGGCATGCCGACGATATACAAATACACGAAGACCTTTTTCAAAATAAAGCAAAAATTAATATCATAGCTTTGTTTTATAATTTTTAATCAATGTTCTACGTATGTATTGGCTAAATTAGATCAAGATTAGATTAAGCTTCTTGTATAGTAACTATATTTTATGCAAAGAAATACTATAATTTTATGGAGGCATAGCTTTATTTGTATAAGGGCTTAGCACAAAGAACTCTTTAGAACCAGCTGATCACATTAAATAGACATTTATTCTCTTAAATCAAGGGCATTTGTAACAACCAGGTTTCCATAAAATCGCGACACGCTATCTGAACAGCTTTCGGCGACGCTGATTGGTTGGTGGACCTTTTCGGAGTGTCAATCAAACCTAACAACTGACCAATCAGAACAAGGCTAGTAATACGTGCGTGTCCAACAAGCCCACGTGTTGTCTCACAAACGCACGTGCTTGCGTATGTTATCATTGTCGTTTTGTGGGACCTTTGCATCCATCCAAGGGGCGGGGCTTAGCGGAAATGCCAATTGCGTCGGGAAACGTAGTGTAACGATAACGGATTCAAGTATAAAGAAAATGCAGTGAAAACCTTATAGCGACAGCGTAGTGATTTTATGGAAATAAGGTTTTACGCACGTCGAAGAGTTTGGCGCACGGTTAGCACCCCGAGAGTTTATTGTGTAAAAAAATAATATACAAATTACTAGTAGGGTCTTCGTAGCGAAGAACAATGAAAAAGGTGGAGAACAACTTTAAGTAATCCGAGTCACATTGGTCTGGCTATCAATGATGAATGAACAACAAACACGTTTGGACGCTCGATGCATCTTATAAACACTTTGATGTGCAAAATAATTTGATATACGTAGGCTAGGAAATTCAACGATATGTGTTGATCTTGTTCCTCAATAAATTACTGTATGCAAGCAAATCCTGTATGTGTGTTTTTTTTTTCTATGCATTATAAGGACCCCATCCATAAGGGAAAAGAGCCAATCAATCAAGTATTTTATTTTCACAATAATCAGGCAGGTGGCAGGGGTAGCGCAATGAATTTCCAGGCTGGATGATACACGAAAGTGCTCGACGGGAGGTGAAGGGTTTACGACGCGAGTGTAAGTGGGCGTGGCCGGCCAGGATCTGGTTATAGAGCCACTCGAGTTGTATATTTATTTGAGAGGCTTTATTCAATATACTAGATTCACACAAACAGTAGAAATTACAAAAATATTATTTTTCTCACCGACGATTTGTAGTTTTTCTCCCCGAACCGGGGGGATGGGGGAGGGGGTCTTGTGGTAGCTCGCTCCTCGACGGGGGCCCTGACCTTCGCCCCTCTCCCAACTATAAACGCCATTGTCGACAGATGGAATTATATCAAATAAAAGGTGACGTGACATAACTGATGATGACATAATTAATGTCGAAATATTGAATCCCAACACGATGGCGTCACGGTGCATTTCAATACTTGGAGTGACATTAAGGCCTATAGTCTACTTTCTTATGTGCCATAACTGGTGACGTTATTTGGTGCTGGTGAATGCAATTTCTAGTTGATTGATTGATTGATTGATTGACTGATTGATTATTGCTGGTTGGGGACAATTTAGAAAGTGATTGGGCTGGTTGTGTTTGTGACGACCATGTCGTTTGTTTGAGGATCATAATGATAGTAACAAAAAAATTAAATATTGATTAAATTCAAACTTTTGCATGCACGTAGTTAGTTATTCGTTAGAGTTCTTGTTCAGGACTTGCCCGACAGGGGGTCTGATGTCTCCGACCGGGAGGGGAACGAATCCCTGACCGTATGGGCGTGGTAGGGCGTACTCAAAATCTCAAGATCCCCATAGTCGGATCCAGTAGGGGAAACGGGGCACGTGCCCCCCCCCCCCACCCCGTTTTGCCACTAAATTTTAAAATTTTAAGGCATACAACACCAGGGTGGGCAAGGGCACCTGTCTCTTATACACATCTAGATGTGTATAAGAGACAGCCCACACCCTTAGAAAAATTCTGGATCCACCCCCCTGATCGCTGGTCTATACTAAGGGTCACTGAATATATCGCTCTTGTATTATTAATTAACCCAGGGAACAGTGAAACCTGATTAACCACTGAATTCCTTCGAAATTACTTATCACCTTTGAAGTTGATAATATTTATTTATTTTTTTAATTGGAAAACTTAAATGTTTTGATTAAGCAACATCATTTTTAGCATTGATCATGAATGAGTTGTTGCGTTTCCGCTTCATTGGTTTAACCTTTAACCCCCAAATTGCTTTATTCATGACTTGGTTGCAAGGGACGCCAAGGTCCCAACAACAAACTTTTGTAGTGCAACGATGGATGACTGTGATCTTGAAAAGCTGTCTGTAAAACCTGGGACGTTAAGTCCCAAGTTCGCAAAAAACGTAACAGACTACAACGTGACTGTAACTAGTGATGTTGCCAAAATTACAATCACTTGCTTGACTAGCGACAGTAATGCAAGCTACCAAATTATCGTGAGTTCTCTGGCCTAACTAGGCTTAGAATATGATAGGCCTAGACTGGCCCTTGTTGTTAGGCCTAGCTAGGTAGGCCCCTCTTTCATTTCAATCATGATCGTACAAGCTAGCCTAGGCTTATACAGCCATGGCCTAATCTAGCTTAGGGCCTACTTACTAGGCTTGGCCCTAAATATTAGTAGTAGTAGTAGTAGTATTAGCTTACCCTAGTATTAGGAGGGAGGTCGTCCGCAGGCCCACGTCATATGACTTTCGCCTAGGCTAGTCCTGGGATCTGTGGAGGACCAGGGATTTTATCCCTGACTGAGCAGTCCCCAGGATTAACAATAAAGTAAATAAATAAAAAATAATAATATGCCAATCAATCAAGGACAGGTAATGTAATGTAGACTTTCGATGGTTCGATCAGCGATTGTGATACAGACAGTGAGGCCTGCACCAGGTGGGCTGGGGGGGGGGTGGAGGGGAGGGGCACGTCTACACACAAAATTATTCCATGTAATTTAAGTTTGTTTAAATCCACACAGGGAAGTAAAGGCAGCAAAACCTTACCTTTAAAAGAAGGTGATGTAACACTAATAAAGATTGAAGTGTCTGCTGAAGATGGAACTACCAAATATTACAAGATCAGTGTGAACAGGTTGTCAGCACAAGATGCTTCACTCAGTAATATCAAACTCTCAATTGGTCAACTTGTGCCAGATTTTAGTAGCACGACTACTAAATATACAGGTAGGTATCTGGTAGTCATGATGAATGTTAACTTATGTTAGACTACTTTGTCTTTAATTAAAAACACAATATGTAGTTAAAAATTATGTTAATCACAAATTTAATCATAACCCCGGGCATAATGAACATCATTTAAATGCAAATCAATCAGCACTTAAATCAGAAGAAACTGAGGAAGTCAGACATTATATACTATAAAGTAAAGCTAAGGAGTGCATACCTTACTGCCCGGGCCCTGATGGTCCGGCACTGTTCAACACCAGGGTGGGCAAGGGCACAGATCAGTCTTGAAAGGTCAACACCCATGTCAACGCCACAATGGTTGTGGCTGAGGTGTGAAAATTTGAAGAAATAGTACACTTTTTGGCATCATAATATCATAGTTGTATAAAGTAATGATTTCAATTTACCACCATAGAACTGCTGCAGAATGCTCTTCCTTAAAACCTGGATATTTATATGGTTCATTTCAAAAAATTTCAGGCATTTCCTTGATTTATGAATTACATTGTAGTCGATAAGTGTACCAACCCCCCTTAAAAATATGTTGGGGATGTCCTCCCTATTTCCCTACCCCATGATCTGCACCCGTGAGGATGGGCTGCACTGCTGCAGCCAAGTCCACAGTGGTCTAGCAATCTACTATTCATTCAACTAGGACCACTTAAGCTACTCTTATGAACACACAGTTTTTAAAATCAGTGTTCAGGTTAAAGGTCATTGTTAATCAACCAATCAATATTAAATTGATGCAGGTACTGTTCCGTGCAGTGTGAGCCATCTCAAAGTAACAGCTATTGCTCCAGACAAAAAGACTTCAGTCAAAGTGAATGGAACAACCTCAGAAATGGAAGTCAACTTGAATGTCGGAGAAACAACCATTGAAATAGAAGTAACCTCAATAGATGGGTCAAATACACAGGTACAGTATTATCAAAAATAGTTTCTCTACACATCAAAGATCTTTCAAACACGAGAAAGTGATCTCCGTGCTTCTACGCGTAAAAAATAGAAGCGTTAATGTTAAGTAAAAAGAGCCAAAGAGTAATCACTTTTGAGAAAGAGGGTGTCCTAGTTGTTACCATGGCTGTTATAGAATTTGCACGCAGATGCGCTATCTTTAATTAAAGATCTCTGATGTCAAAGTTTGAAGAGTAATCACTTTTTCAAGAGGGAGCCATACACTGCGTTATTACAAAATTTGCACGCAGAAATCGCGAAGAACGCCATCTTGTAATTTTAAGATCTTTACTGCACATGTACATGTGTATGCTAATTCAAGGGTCCCATGTCTCTCGCAAGTCGCTGCAGTGTTCCAGAAATCGGAATGTCCTTCTGCACTCCTGTAAGCATGCACAAATCTCCAGGAAAATGCCCCATCTTCTGCAAGTTCATAACACTATTTGCATGTTTTGACTAACTTTATCAATTTTCTCACGGAAATCGGTGACAATGGGTATAACTATATGCAGAAAAATATAATTAGATGTGTTAAGAAAACTCATTTAACCAGGTCTTCCAGAAGTTACTTTTTCCTGCTTGGGATCACTGGAAATTACAGAAATGAATACATTTTGTAACCCAAAGAAATAAACTAGAAACATTAAATCATTGTAATTTGTTCTGTCATACTTTTTAATTATTCTTTTACTTACCAGCTTTATGTCATAGATATAAGCAGAAAGTGGTTTCCGCAGATGGTAATATTAGATGATCCCAACCTGGCAATCAAGTTTGAATGCCCTGTGACCTTAGGCCCCCTCTATAAACCAGTCAGCATCAAAGGATCAGATCCAAAGCATATATTCAGTGAGCCAATTATTGAACTGCTTACTCGAACATCCAAGCTGGATCCCTTAGATGAAACGCCATTGGAAAGTGATTGGAAATTAGCAGAGCAGAAACTGGATAATGAGTTATCTTTGGTGACTGTGAAATGTATTTTCTCATATGCAGGTACGTTTTTATCTTGCTTCAATACTACAGTAATTTTATTTCTTAATGGTCTTTCAGCACTAGTATCAAGATTCTATAATGTGATTTGCCCTTTTATGGGCAAGATGTTGTCATTTTACCCACCCATTGAGCAAATCAATAAACATAGACTGTTGTGTTGGTCTGCATCGTACCATAGAGGAAATTATATCTTAATTAAAATTGAATTAAAATTAATTGATATATTTCCTCAATGGTCGTACCATGGTGCCTAAGTTGGCCTTAAGATTTTCTGTACAATGTTTAATAAAAAAAAAAAAGACTTGCGTGCCATTGATCATATTTCTTCATAGGTTGCACAGAAAAGATCAAGTTTTCCAAGCTAGGAAATCATATTAAAAACTGCACACTAAAGCCTGTAACTAAAGAAAATGATAAGGTAAATAAACAGTATTTTATTACCGACAATTATAATAAATATGCGGTACATGTCTTGCCAATGCAGAGATACAGTAATAGAACAAATACTCAACATCCATCTATCCATTCTGTGAAATGAATCAAAGACTTGATTTTTTTACCTAGAATTACTAGATAGTGGCAATGTTTTTCTCAAGCCCAGACTTTAAATAATTTACTGATGAAGCACAAACAACTCTTTGTGGAAGACCGTTTCAATCATTAATTACTCTGAATGCATTTCCTAATGCCTAATCTTTGAGTTGACTTTCATAATTTAAAAGTGTGACCTCTTTGGCAATAGGCATATGTGACTGAACTCGACATAGTTAATAATTTGACGTTACCTATGACTAATGCCGACTTGACTTAATGAGCCTTAGGAGTAGTGTTTAGTTTTGAAGGCAAGAAAAGAATTAATGCATTTTACGTAGTATTGAACCAAAGACTACAAATTTGAGGTTGAGTACCAAAATTCATCTACCATAATCGTCGTCATGACTATAGTTTTTGTTTTTGTCATCCAATTTATATATTTTTATTTATTCTTAAAATGCACAATGTATATAGATAGAAAAAGAGACATGTAAAGGGTGTAGTCGTAAAGTGATAAAGAGCGAGGTGGATTGGCACGGCGCCACCCTTTGCACTGGCAAGTTCACTAATCGTGAGATCAACCACATATATAAGGTAGGCCTCAAAGATATTTCAATTCATTTTTTTCATTCTCCCTGTCACTCATGTGCAGTTGTTAATAAACTAGTAATGTATGTTAAAATATGATATAATATTATTGTTCTTTTTTTACACCTCCAGGAACATGCTTGGGAAAAGTCTTTACAGGAAGTGGTTGGAGGTGGCAGTGTGGAGAGCCTCTTACAAAATTCTCAGCGTTTGATTAAAAAATATAGAATCGGCTTACCTACACCAGGTCAGATTGCATTTATGGCATAGTACCATTCCATCTACATCCATTATTTAGGAAAGACAATTCTGGATGTCATGCCAGTGATCACACTCAAACATAAAGTTTATATGATCATTGCTGAAAATCACAGTTAATGATCACACTTGAGTTATGATTTCTCATAATGATGACCATACATTTTAATCATTCACACGTACATGTAGAAGATCACACTAAATGATTAAACTCTATGCTCATTTCTTGTAACCACACATTATGATCACATGAAAAGTTGCTACAATGGTCAAGAAAAGAAATATGACACTTAACAAGATCAGATGGTCTTGCAAAAACTATCTTGCAAGGCACAGTCCAAAAAGAAGGAGAAGAGGAAAACAGAGGAAAAGATAAAAAAGAGTGGAAAGTGGTTGTCATTTGCCAGATCCGGAGGGTAATTGCATGACCATGACCAGTGGCGCGAGGTCATCATGACATCTTCATAATTGCCTCAACAACCTACCAGGGGTTATGGATTGAACAATGATGATGATGATGATCACAATTTTTTATTGCTTCTGACAACTGCACATCATGATGATCATTCCTTATAATCACGCATGGTGATCACTCCATATTTACACTAATGATTACATGATTACTTCTGTTAATCACAATTACTTTATGATCACATTTATAACAAATTCTGTTTTCAATTTCAGGCCAGACTCTTCGTTACGAAGAAGGAGACACTCCACGAGATCACCTTCACAGTGCCACTGTCAACCTAGCCTGTGCTATCAAAGATAATCCTAAATGTGCTGAGCTTCATTATAAGCTGGGCCTTCTCATGGAAGAACAGTACTATGCTGAGGATATGTATGGGCTAAGGAAACAGGTGGGGGTGCTGTTGCTAATGAATATTGGACAAAAAATTAAAGAAAAAACAGTTCTTATTAAATAGGTTGTGGTTATATTTATCTCACCATAAACAATCAATTAAATGATAGGTTTATGTTACTGATTTCCCCATGCATATACCCCTTTTTTAAGGCAGGGATAATTACAGTACACAGAATTCTCCACTGCCACAAAATACAAAATACATGATAAGAAATATTTTTTCCTTTATGTAGAATGATTAATTTTTATTTGCAGGATGATGTTGCTGATGACTTTGGAAGTTTGATGTTGAATGCCAAGGAGACTGGGAAAGAGGAAGAGATTGGTGGAATCTGCCAACAGCGTGGAGTTGATCCCAAAGCGCCATTGTCAAGAGTTCTCCAAGCTATTGATGAAGAATATAAATTCCTTTTGGAGTCGGGACAGTCCGGGAAAGCGGATTATGTCCAGGGATTGTACATATGGAAATCGAAACAGGCTACAAAAGTATGTAATTAAGTTATGTAATATACCTTGTGAATCACTCTGCTAATTTAGTCAAACTTCCCACGTTTGGTTTATAATAAAGGAAAGAAGCAGTAGTAATTTAACATTTTTTTTAAATGGGAACAAAGAAAATTTAATGAAAATTAGTTTCTTTAGTAACATTTATTTCATAATGGTCATAAAAAAAGTTACATTTACACTGAATTGATGCATATTTAATTATATTAAAGTAAAAAACAGTATAGTTAGAATAAAGAAATTAGACCATTAAAGGGATAAAAAAAAAAAGATGTAACTTATCTCATGATCACCCCAAATTAAAATACACAAAAAGTAGTAATAAAAATATTAATAATAATAAGGTAAGAACTTATATAGCGCCATTTAAAAAACCGAAGTAATTATCAGTGGCACTTCAATAATAAGAACAATAATTATTATTATAATAAATAGTAATACATAATATAATAAAAATACAAAGTGCAAAATATAGGTTTTTTCTAGATATGACTAGTATAAGTGAATGAACAAATAATTAAATTTTGAGCATCAGTCTTGTTTTGATCTAAATCTAATTCTACCATTGACCTTAACCTATAGAATCTGCTTTGTTTTGTTAGGATGGAAAAGCATCACAAGCGGCAACGGACCAGCAGAACCCTCTAGGCCAGGCCTTCCTAAAATTCCAAGATGCCCTGAGCCTCGATCAGAATAATGCCTTGTACAATATCCACGTAGGTCGACTGCTTCTGCTACAGGACAAACCAGAAGCAGCTCTAAGCAGGCTAGAGTTGGCTGTTGGATTAAAACCACAAATGACAATTGCACGGTATTCAGTTCAACCTTTTGTGTATTTATTTATACAATATAAGTATTTTTTATATAGCATTTAAATTGATATGATATTTATTGATATAATATTTATTTATATATTTTTATCAGATTTTACTTAGGACTGGCTATTACACAGCAGAAGTCTGGTGCTGGCTCAAGAGCAAAAGAAGCTGCAACCTATCTCCATGACGGCCTAGAAAAGTTCTTGGAGTTGGGCCTATCCAAGGCTGATTCTGTAGAACATTGGTAAATACTTGCTTGGTTTAATATCATTTTCGCTTTGTAACTTTATACAAAACTTCGTTGTAGTAAAAAGTCTATAAATCAATGGAAACTCAATCATTTTGATCAGCATGTAACGTCAGGTGATGTAGATTTATATAGCACATTATACTGAAGTCTAAAGCGCTTGATGACAGGGGTGGATCCAGAATTTTTTCAAACCGGGGGCACAACATATTCAGAATAGATAAGTGAGAGTGCTAATTTCAATATATATGCCTTGAAATTTTAAAATTTAGTGGCATGTGCCCCTGGATGAGTGGACTATATTACAGTATCTTCCTTATCCCCTAAGGAGAGTGCCTGAGCTACCCAGAAACCAGTGCCAGCTACTCTCGTCTCTTCACAACATAACATGAGCTTTGTGGACCAGTAAACCTGTGTAACTAATCCCTTCTCATCTCGAAAGATGTACTGGGTTCTTTAAAGTGCATGTGAGCAAATTGTAAACACTGGACCTACAGTTTATATCCTTATTCGAGAAGTAATTTTTCATCCCCAAAACCATGTGTACCGCTCAAAGCAGCATCGATATTATGGCTGTAGGTTGCTGTGACCCTGCCTTAACTGCTCAGCCATTCAACTGGCCCAAAATTTGATAATTATAATTATATTTGATAATTCTTTGAAATTCATGTACAGTGTATGTACTGTACTATCTTGAAAAGAAGCCTGCTATCTTGCGAGATGAGCTTCTTTTCGAGGTTAATTTTGCCAACTGAAGAGGTGGGCTTTATTTCGAGATGAGCTTCTCGAGATTAAGCCCATTGGGCTTCAATTTGAGGTTTTACGGTAAGAAATTAGTGGATTTTTAAAAGACATTTTAGAATTTACCACCAAACTTTTTTTGCATACTCTATTAATATATAGGAAGCCTGAATTTGATCTCCATTCTGAGGACCTTTGGAGAGAGACCTCAGTCCAGCTTTTCCGAGGCTTCCTTCAACTTGGTTCCATGCAAGCAAAGATGCCTATAGAGAAATTAATGGGTGCAGATCAGATCTTCCACAGGTAAAAAACTAAAATATATGAATGTGCTTTACTGTAAACTTTGATGTTTTTTCATAGATGCACTTTATACAGTAAGTCTTCCTCCTTGCTTACTACCATCATGTGAGCTAAAATGAATTGGAGGTAAAGGCAAGGTAGGAGAATAACCCATAGCTCGCTGCGTCATTGTGCTGAATTGCGTATGAGCATAGTCCATGACTACCTAGCCGTTGTAAAGAGGTGCTTATAGCAGCTACATATTCACATCATTCCACAATAACAGGGATTGAAATGAACCATAGCATTGGGATAACCCAACCCCCCTTCTCTTCCGAAATATGGAAGGGGTTCTTTAAAAGTGCACACAAGCCCTGATGTGTACATTTGATCTCCAATTTAAGTCCCTCTGAGAGGATGTAGTTCTACCTACTGAACCCTGGGCGAGGAGCTGCAAATAAGGCTCCTAACAGCCTTCTGCTTGGCCATTGTCTGAGAGCTTGTGTTCCTCTTTCTACAGCTGTGGCATATTAGCAGCGCAGAATCTTTGCAGCCTCTCTGCCAGGGCCAACACCTACCAATCGATGGAATGGATCCTTCTGGACTGCCATTCAAACCTACTGGAGCTGCTGCTGAAGAATCAATCTGATAATACCAAATGTATTGCTCAACGCTGTCAGCAGTTATCTGCTCTGATTCGATGTTCAACATTGCCCAAGAGTCCAGATATTATGAATTTACAAACAAAGGTAAAGGCAGTATTTGATCAGACTTTGACTGACGGTGGTGTAACAACTATGAGCTCTCACTGGCTGAAGTCAGGGTCCCCAGGCCTGGACCCTGAGATACTGTATTCATCAGAACTTTTGTTTGGCCTCAAATACGTCGAGTTGGGGCCTTTTTTTAAAGAGCAGAACGTTTAAAAAACTCTGAGTTATTAAGCCTTAAAACATCAAAGCTTGCGAAGCTTTACTCTGTACCCCAGAGTTCTAGCCGGACCAAGCTCCCAGGAGTAGTGCCTGAAGAAGTAGGGGCCTCAGGCCTCTTTGTTACACCACTGTTGACTGATGGTGTATGTTGTAGAGATGATCAAGTCATGAGTCTTTCAACTTGTGGTCGGCTAATTGCAAAATAGCTGATTAATGATGATGCAGTATTGACCTAAGAATACATACAGTGACTGGTGTGATTCAGTTTGATCTTCTTTTTTAGACATGTCAAAAAGGCGTGATTATCCAGCCAACAAACAGCCAGGCCCTGTGTCAGCTTGGCAATGCCCAGCTTGCCATCTATGATAATCAGCCCGACTCAGCTGGGGGCACTGCTAACCTGCAGGCAGCTCAGATGTCCTTTAGGGCTAGCATTGCCCAAGAAGGCAAACCAATCACTGGAGGAGACCTACCAGAACAGTTAATAGGTATACTCACTTTGACACATTCAAAAGTTTATCTTACAGTTATTATAGTAAAGTAATTATCAATAATCATAATAAAACCTTCCGCCAAGCTCCACCCATTGGATAAGTGAACAGTGTAAACAACATACGCAAACGCATGCGAGATGTGCATATTCCTGGTCATGTTCTGATTTGATGTATTTTGATTTGATTGAAAGAATGTGTATGTGTTCTCTCAGCCATTCACAACATGTTTTGTATCAAATGAAATCTAATTACTGTACAGTAACTATACAATCTATTTCTGGCTGTCATTATTGCACGAAAAATGAGTCGGGGGAGTATTTACAAGAAAACTATGTAATGTTAGGAAATAAAAATAATTTTTTTCTTTGCTTACTTAAGATATTTATTGAACTGATGATTGGGGTAAGGGAAAAAAATTAATAAATAATTTTAAATTTTTCTTTTTATTTTTTGATGTCTTCTCTGGAATTATGTTTTTGGTAAACTAAATAATGTTTTAAATTGAACTTTTGATATTTTATAGCTGCAATAATTTTTTGTAATTGAATAATTTTTATATTTATTTTTTAATGAATTTTTGATATTTAAGCTGCAATAATTTTTATTGTAATTGTTTTTGATTGTGATTTTCTTGAATGTCTTATGCTGGAATTTTATAAACTATTTTTGTACTATATTTTGTATACTAAATTAATTAACTATACTAAGCTAATGATAATTTATTTAACCTGCAATTTTTTTTCTGTATATATTTGTTCCTAGTTAAGAAAATTGATTTAATGATATTTAAACTGAAATTTTTAGAATCTTACTGTTGATATTTTTTTTCTGTTTTTTTGTGTATCCGAGGAAACCAAATTTCAATTTTACTACTTGTACTATTGACAATAAAATTACTTTGAACTTTGTTTCTATACAATGTGAATAACAATGAAGTAATAAAAAGGTATGATGTATAGATGTTATATTGTTGTAGGCCAAGAATGGTGGAAGTTGAAAGAGAAGAAAGAACAAGAGGAAAAAGCTGCTAAAGAGGCAAAGTCCAAGCCAGCGACTACAAAGGGAGCACCGTCACCAGCTGCAGGGCGGGGTAGAGGGGCTACTGCTAGTAAGACGACCCCAAGTAAGTGCACCAGCTGAATCCTACAGAAGTTAATTATTTCCAGTCCTCTTTTAGTTATTTCTCGGTTAAAGATGTACTTCCCCATGAAAATCATTTTTTTAAATTAACTTGCTCATTTCAAAATAAGGTAAAAATTATCAGCTTGAAAAAACATTGAAATTAGTGTATTTAAATAATGTGTACCCATAATTTTACTACTATAATAATAATAATAATAATATTAAAATGAAACAATAGTAGTTTTAAAGAAGGCTTTTTCACAACAATTGAATTACTTCCTTTTTTAAAGCTGACATACTATTATTATCATATTTATTTTTTTATTATGTTATTATTAAATTTATATTTTATTGCTATTTTTGGTTGATAATGAACAATAGATTATTTTTTCAATAAATGTTTTAAAAAGGTTTTTCAGGAGGCTTTTTTTTTTACAGATCACATTTTGTATTACCGTAAATATTTGTTTTCCATTTGTGTACAAAAATTATGTTAGCATTGAGAAAATATTTTATTTATCTACTACTGCTCTTTTGTATTATTTCATGCATTTAGCAAGAAGAAGTGTGTCAAAGGCCGCTCCAGTGAGGGGTGCTACAGCTAGTCGAGGAAAACCTGCTCCAGCTAGGACTCCACCAACCAGAGGTGCGCCAGCCAAAGTAACACCAAGGGGTGGACCAGCTAAAGGCTCAGGGACAACAGCAGCTAAACCACAGCCTAGCAATCCAGAAAGCACTACTAGACCAACCTCAGCTAATAAAGAAAGTGAGAATCAATCCAAAATCTGAGTATTTTTCAGTTTTACGCTGACTTAGCTTTATAGTCGAACCAGTCAATCTTTAGACAAAATTATAATGAACACAGAAGTAATTTTAACATAAATATTTTAATAATATACAAATAATAGCATACCAAAAGCCCGAAAAAATCTAATCAGGGGAACATTGTTCATTATAAGGATATTTAATGGGTTAAAATCAAACGTTTTATTGCACAACTGCTCAGCTGGAAGCATATAAATGCATGTCATTGCCAAGTTGTTGCTAACGAAAAAATGTGAATTACAGGGTAATACGCCCGCGCGCGATCCAAAAGCGGGGAACACATAGGTTTGTCGCGTCAAAGGGATCTGTTGCCGAGTGATCTCCTTCTCAATAATACCTCCATGCTCTGCCTATATAATTCTAATTTAAAGCGATTTAACAACATATGAATAATTAACATTCCTAAAGAGATTGGCTAAAGTGGAACATCAAGAAATGGGTACAGATTGATGCGTACGCCCGTCTACAGCTACGAACAGTTGTACATACATAGCGAACGTTTTACATAGTTTTACGCCCTTAAATTTACATTGATTGACAGAGGTTTTTTTTAACCAATTGGGATTAGTTTCATATGACAAGAACCTGTGAATGTTTATCTTTCTTTATCCGAGAGGAACAAAAACGTTTTCGATTGACCAAAACCTGAAATGGAAATTTGATCAACCTTAGCTGTAGAAAAGCCCAAACAATGTCTCCTTACGCTAGTAGCGGGAGGCCTAGAGCATTTCAAAAAGTGAAAAGTGACTGAAGGTTTTCTTAGAGAATGAACATATAACAAACATATTACCAATCAGAAAAGAATTTTCTTTCAAATTCCGGAGAGAACAAAGAAATTCATCAAGAATTGGTTGAGATATGACTTTAAAAAGATAAAAATTACCGGTTTCAGAGCTAAACTCGGTGCAAATTACAGCATAAATTGCTTATCAGCTAAAGTTTGCTCTTGTTAAAAACGAAAATTCATATGAAGCACTTTTTATGATAAATTTTCTGAAAACGTTATTGAGTGCCAGAGAATTTTAATTTGTTAAAATGAATCATATTCATGGCTCCTAAAAAGCATAAAACGTTTGAAAAACTCTTGCACTAGGACCTGTTGTCATGTAGCTATGTTGCTGGTTCCAGATTCTGCAAGTATTGGTTTTGCGAATTTTGAATTTTCTAAAATATTATTTATTTTTATAAAATATGAAGTTAACGGGTTGGAGAATAACCGGTAACTCGCAGGGTCATTGTGCTGAATTGTACAGTACTGTATATGGGCGTGGTAGCTACATGTTCACATCATTCACGATAGGGGCTGAAATGAACCATAGCATCGGTGTAACCCCTTAAATTTTCTGGAAGGTGCAATGGGTTCTTTAAAGTACACACCAGCCAGATGTGTACACTGGACCTCCATTTTTAAATTGACTTAAAAGTCCTTATCTGAGAAGACTTGGTTCTAACAACTGAACTATGGGCGAAGAGTGGCTCAAACCAGCACCAATGTTAAAGCTGTAGTTAGCTGCGTCTCTGCCTTACCGCTCGGCCACCCAACTCGCCACACAGTTATATTGTAAAATTATGCTCTTTGCTCAGTAAAATTAAATTGTAACAAAATATGTTTCATTAATAGAAAAAAAGGTTTCGTATTTAAGGACTATTTCGGGAATTACTACTTCTTTCAGGCTGTTTAGAGAAGTATGTGGAGATCCTGGAGTCCAAGTTCAAGAATGACTTACTAAAGAACGTGTATGCTGGCGTCAATTATAAAGATGTAAACGACCCTGACCTTCAAGCTTTCTTCAAATTCAAAATGTGGCTCTAGATCCCAAGAGGGCGTTTTTCATTTGGCATCATCTATCAACCAGAGTTTATGAGCACTATCAACATCATCAGTGGTAGATCCAGGAATTCACAATAGAGGGGGCCCACAGCTGGACTTTCACACATAGGGATGGCCGAAAATGACGTACATAAACACATACGTATTATATATTGTATATTGTATGTGTGTTTCTTGGACAAGCACGTACTGACCATGTTCTGATTGGCCAGTTGTTCATTTCGAAAATGTCCCTTTAATAGTGATGATAAAAAAAAAAACAAGCAAGTGACGTCAACTCAGTTGATTATTGGTCAGTAGTTTTGCTATGTCACCTACAGAACTGGAATGATGAATCATGTTCAACTCTCAGGATTTGTCTGGACAAATAGAGAAGCCATCTCGATTGCATCACAATACTGGTCACAGTAAAGTGAATGTTAAGTGAAAAGATGTAGCAACAGTGTATCAATTTTATGGAAACCAGATTTTACAGCAACAAAGAATCCACCACATTAACATTGTGAATTTTAAGGCCATAAGACCAATGGTGGCACCAGTATTTGCCTGAGGGAGTGTATGATGTCCGCGATGGTGAGGGAGAGCAACTCCCTGTCGAGAACTTAAGTGGGCTGGTCGGTCGTCGCTCAAAATCTCTCGGATGTGATCCATCTGGCATATCCCTGGAAACTATGACCATTTAGTGGTTTGAAAGGCTTAAACAATTTTAGAGTTCATTGATATGTAAAAAATATATATAATATGTCTTCTCGTTGACAAATTGTGTTATTCTCCCCGATGAGGTCGGGGTCAGCTGAACCAGAGGGGGCCCTGCCTTCTCCTCCGGCGCCACCCCTGCATAAGATGCTATTTATTTATGTTTTCTGTGTTTTTTTACATGAGCAAGAATTAAGTGTGAACAGTGTCTGACAGCCTGCCCTCCCCTTTTTTTAGTGAACCAAGTACTTATATATTAAATACATTCCAATTCTAGCAAAACTTCACCTTGAATTTGTGAACTTGTAATAAACAAATAGTAGTTATTTATTGTTTAGTATTATTTTTCATACACAATGTTTTTTATATTTAATTATGTTGTTCTATAAACTTGCTGTGTTGCAATAACCGTAAGGGTTAATTACCTTGTTGACACTCACAGACATACACTGCCAGTGGACCTAGACTACGGTATTGAAACTGAAATAATTCAGTAGGTTAGAAAATGGTGGTGTCGTTGATGGCAATAAGAGTTCATATTCCGCTTTGTTGTTCAAATTGTGTTATATTGTACTTTTGTAATAAACGAAGCCATTAAAGTGGCTGTATGCCTTAATCATAGAATTGTCTGTAAATTATAGAGAATCAAAATATCTATATCTTGATCTATGTCTCATTAAACTGGATAATCCAAATGAGTAACTCAATATTTAGTCTGTGTTAATTTTGCTGGCTATAACTCGAATTTACCTGTAGGTCTACTACCTAAGGTTAGGGGTGAAGTGCGTCTTCACTAATCAAGACAATTTCGAATACAAGATTTCTACCGGCTAAGTACCAACTGTCATTTTTAAGTTATGGGAATTTTCCCGATTATTCCACACATACAGTTTAATATATTTAAGACATCTTACAACATATTTAAAAATCTCAATAAGCCTAAATACAAACTTAACCGACCAATCAGAACATGGCCATGGATAAACACGTCCCACAAACACACATTACATTATAGTACACTTCAGTAACAATATTCAACTGGGTGGTGCTTAGCGGATTGGTCCATTCGATCTCTTTAAACAATAAATTTTCCCCCCATTTCTTTCTCAATTATGATGACAGTACATTCACGCATCGAAGACTTTCATCGATTCTGAAATAATATACTTTATTTGCATTTTGTTGTACAGGATGTGCTTATTTTATATTCAATTCTAAATTTCTTCATATAATTTCTACTGTTGTATTTACATATACAGGCTTGCTCACCGTTAACTTTGGAAAACGAATATGAAAAAAGAATTTGCGTGAACAGTGGTGTTACTGAGGCGTATCTATTTTAAATGACGTCACACCTCTGCTTGCCATGGAGAATATAGACGATAGAAGAAATGTATTAGTTTGCTCTTTTTATTTGACGGCACTACTTTTTTTTTTACATTCGGAGCCAACAGTGAGTCGTCTGAACAAACATTGTTTACAAAAATGCTCTAATATTTAAAAACGAAATAGAAAAGTGTTGTCTTTTCCTAAATCTAACTTTTAAATTCTGTTTTCTGCTACTTATTGTTGAATTTTTTATTAGCAAGTGTGAACATTTGGTTGGTATTTTGATCACACTAAGTAGGCCAACATAGAACTTCAGTATTATAAATATAACTGTTAAAAGATAAAATAAAATTTCCGTAACGGAAATGGTAAATATCAGATTCGTGATAATCAGTTGGTTGAAAATCAGTTGGTTGATAATCAGTTGGTTTGAAAATCCTAAATTTGTACATTGATAGGTATGTTCTTTTTTCTGTTACATCTGTTGCAGTATACGTCATAAAACGCTCGTCTGAACCTGTAATTCATTGCATTATATATCACAGGATTTACCGAGGAATTTATTTGAACCATGAGGAAGAAAAGATTTATTAGTGAATTGTTGACTGTAATTTTATGATCTAATAATACAACATATATCTGAAATGGTGCCAAGCAACCAACGTAAACCGTAATAGTTACAAATACTGTCAGGAAAACTTTCAATTCTGATTTCGATATTGGATTTGTTCCGGCCGAACTACCTGCTATACTTCGCGACTTCCGCACTGACATCAACATCGCCGTGTAAAGAGCTACTATGATCACAATCATCAACACGATGATAGCTCGATTTACGTACCACAGAATTACTATGTATTCTGACCTGCTTGTACAAATTGTAACAAAATTCGGCAAAATATCGACAGCAAAGAGAGGCCAGGAAACTTCTTTGGTTTTTTTACGAAACAGGACCAACAATGGTGCACTCCAAGACAAACATAAAAACCAGATGATGCCACAGATCTTTAAAGACTTTAAACAATTCCCAAATCCACTTCGTCGGAACTTCAAAGGTCTGCAGATTGCCATATAACGTTCAACGGATAGCCAAAATATTGTGAAGAATGCCACTTGTTCTACTGTAAAATAGAGAAACTTATTTAGCGGACAAACCCAATTCATCATTTCACCGTTGTCAGTTACATCCCTTAACGGACTTTTAAGATAAGAGTTCCATATCAAATCAGGTGCCGTTATGAGGAGCAACGTATCAGCTATCGCCAAATTTGCGAAGTACACGTTAACAGGTGTGTGCATGCACTTTTTGCTTGCTATCACGATAATTGTCATTATGTTACCAATGACACCGATGGAGACCACGATTGGCATAATGATGGGGATGATAACTTTGTCCAAATCTGTATACGAGATCGATTTTATGTAACTAGCCCACAGTTTGATAGATGAGTCGTCGAGTTCTGCTCTCGTAACGTTTTCATATGATCCGTTATTGATGACACCCGGCATTTTGGTGGAGGCTAGGGAGCAGTGATGTTTTTTAGCTGTTGAAATAACACATAAGATGAATGAGAATACAGTTTATAATACTTCACCAGAATTAAATCAATGATAACTAATTTTATAAAAAGTAACGTTTTAATACTACTACTAATAATAATAGTAATAACAATCATAATAACTATAATGATAATAACGAAAACACTAATGATATCAATGATATTAACGATAAAAATAATGATAATAACACAATAATAAAAAAATGTGTGTGGATGGCGACTAAGATATGTCTGAAAACAAATCAGAGTTATAATAAATAAAATTGCCGATCAAGTATCAAAATTTAAATAGAGGATAACAGAACAATAATGTACTTGGACATCATTGCATAACAGATGAAAGTATGAAACCATAAATATAATGCCTACCTACTTGAGTATATTGCTAAAACAAATAGAGCTCTCTGTTCTCTTTTTATTGTTAATCTTCTCAATGAAAGACGACAGTAGTTTCAGATATATACAATATTCATAGTTGTGCCAAATGTGTTAAGTTAATTATATTTATTAACAATTATTAGGAAAATGCTTAAATTATACAATATGTTTTGGAATATTTGATTCTTTACTAATGTAGCTAATACATTTACCATTTATTTATCTATTTCCATAAACCCCCCGAAGGACAAGCATGTTTGTACGAAAATAAAATACAGTACAACGTAAATTTAACGTGTACTGACTCAGTTGTGACTGGCCAGTAATGCAGGTTGATTTTTAATCAACAATTAACAATTAACTGTTAAAACAGTTCGAAAATGTCCATATGATAATGTGATTATCGGAAAGAAGCTGGTGACGTCAATTCAGCTGATAATTGGTCAGTAGTTTTGTTACGTCACAGACAGGACTGGTATAATGAACAAGGCTCACCTTTCTCCATCTGTCTGGGACAAGAGAAGCCTTCCTGATCGCATAGGTAGTGATTGTATGTGAAACGATGTAGTGATAGTGTAACAATTTTTTGGAAGTCAGATTACACTCTACAAGGAACACACACCATTAACAGTGTCATTTTTTAAGGCCATAAGATCATGGGTGGCGCCACGATTTGCCACATTGAGTCCGAATCTCCGACAAGAACGTAAGTGGGCGTGGTTTTAAACAATTTTAAAATCTATTAATATGTGAAAAATATATATAATTTTTTCATCGCCCGGCGAAGTGTGCTATTCTGCCCTGAAAGGTTGGGGGTGGGGGAGGGAAGCTTTACCCCCTTGGCGCCACCTTTGCATAAGACGCTACTTATTTAAGTTTTCTTTTTTTTTTAACATGAGTAAAAGATAAGTTGGAATACAGTCTGACAGCCTTGCGCCCGTTTGGTGTGGTAACATTGGTAGTTACAATATATTATATTATAGTTTAATCTATTAATCATACATTCCAATCCTTCTAAAACTTCACCTTGAATTTGTAAAGAACTTTTTTACAAATATTTTTCATATATGTTTTTTTATATTTCAAGATTCAAGATTGCTTTATTATCATTAACCAAACATGAGACAAATAAAATTCGTTTTGCTTGCTGCATACAACGAAAGACATGGAAAAACAGTAAAAGGCAATAAATACATGAAAAACATTGAAAACAACAAACTGATACAATACAATAAAAATGTACTTAATATCAATATAGTATTGATATTCATTAGGATATCATATTGTTGTACTAAGCAGGCGCGGATCCCGGCGGTAGTGACACGTCCCCCGTTTTGCCACTATATTTTGAAATTTTAATGCATAACAATGTTACGTATTGAAAAGTGCTCGATGAATAATAGATAGTTTTCGCCGCACGACGTTAACGTTAACGGCTGACGTCATAATTTATTCATCTTGCGTTGTGGAGTACGGTAACGGGTTTGCGCATGCGTATTTCGATTTGTTTACGGGCGGAGCTATTGTGTTGCATGTTGGGAACTAACGTTAAAGTGCAGGTGCGGCGAAAACTACCTATTGAAGTTGAGCTAGCTCACAAAATAAGGTGATTTTTAAGCATGATTTTTTGCTTTGAACATTTCAATGGGCAGCAGGGGGCACTGGGAAACTCTGTATATGTCGCTGAAAAATAGGCCTATGTGTAGGAATAAACAATCTTTCAGCAGAAAAAAGCTATTATAACAAATAATAAATTATCAGAAGAAAACAGTTAAGTTATAGCAAATCTGAAACGGCGAAAAGACGGCGAAAAACTATCAGAATTAATGTTCGCGGTCAAAATAGGAAACTCGCACAAGTTAATGTTCGTAAAATCTTTTTTCGCTCGAAATGGCATCCGCTCAAACTAGCATTCACTCGAAGTGGCATTCTCTCGTATTGACTAGTTCCCTATTAGATGACGCTACACGCTGCTTATAAAACAATGCTAGAAATGTATTAGTTTGCTACGCCCTTTTATATGGCGGCACTACTTTTTATGCGCTAGACATTCGGAGTAATCTGCACAAAGAGACACAGATTTCAAAAATGCTTTATATTTTTTTTAATTAATAATATTCTCAAATATCAGATTCTTTAATAATCGTTTTGTTTTAGGTTTGTTTTTCTAAGTTACTAAATTTGTACATTAGATGTGTTCTTTTTTCTATTACATCTGCTGCAGTATACGTCACGAAAAGCTCGTCTGAACTTGTATTTCATTGCATTATGTATCACAGGATTTACGGAAGAATTTATAGAAAACATTAGAAGGAATATATTGATAGGAAATAATTCTTTGTACTTTTATCCTGTGAACTAAATTCGTCACGTATGTAAAATGGCGCAATACAAACAACATAAACCGTTACAGTTACAAATGCTGTCAGGAAAACCTTCGATTCTGATTTCGATCTTGGTTCTGTTCCAGTCGCAGTCGAACTACCTGCTGTAATTCGCGACTTCCGTAATGAGATCAACATGGCCGTAAAAAGACCTACTATGATCAGAATCATTAACACAGCGACATCTCGCTCTATGTACCAAATAATAAAGAGGATTTCTCCAGACCTGGTACAACATGTAAGGAAATTCGGCAAAATTTCGACATACAAGGGAAGCCAAAATATTTCATAGGTTTATTTACGTAGCATGACCAGATACACCGTATTCCAAGACAAACTTAAACACCAGATGATGCCACAGGTCTTCAAAGACCTTGAACAAATCCCAAATCCACTTTGGGCCCGTTCGAGCGAAAAAATATCCGTGCGATTCACCAGTTAATTCACCGGTACACACTTTCTAAAACCGGTCGGACACTAGTCTAATTACCTTTCCATCTGGATTATCCGCGACAATTTTGACCACCAAATTGCTGGGTAGAATACCGTGTATGGAATGACCATGGATAGTCCGGCAGCTTAGCAGATGGATGTGGACGTTCCGGACAAAAGCACCAATTTGTTTGTACATGCTTCTTATGGTCACAGCATTCAATTTTTGGTAGGAACCACCTCATCCGAGGTCATTATGGCGGCCATCTTGGATTTCAAAATGGCCGCCTAATAAAACCTATGTTTATCTATATCTTCGCTTCTAAACCACTTGGAATTATAATTCTAATGTCTGAAACTATTTTATATGGTCAAGGAAAACCATCATACAATTTTTGACCTGGTATTGCCACAAATAGGTCATTTAAGGTCATTTAAGGTCAAATATTGTATGGTATCTTAAAAATTACATAATTATCATATTTTACATTAGAACCATACCCTGACTCTCAGAATTCAAAATCTTTACTATGGAACTACAATATTTCATTCGAGGTCATTTTGGCGGCCATCTTGAATTTCAAAATTGCTGCCACGCAAATTCTATATTTATCAATATATCGGTTTTTAAACCACTTTAATGAGAATTATGATATCTAAA